CTGGGATCAGGGGGCCAGGTCCTTGTGGCCTTGACATTGAGAGGCTTGGAGATTGAGGCTATGTCTATACTTCAAGTTTTCTCGGCAAAAAACTATGCTAACAAGGGACTCATTTGCATGAGTCGCGATCTCATTTGCATATTTTCTGCCAATCTGTTTTTGTGCAAAAACAAGCAGCGTGGACATTTTCTTTTTGTGCAAAAAAACCCTTTTTCCTCAAGACCCTTATGCCCCACAAAAGGAGATATACCAGTCTTGCAGAAAAAGGGGGTTTTGCTCAAAAAGAAAACATCCACGCTGCTTGTTTTTGCACAAAAACGGATCGGCAGAATATATGCAAATGAGATCGCAACTCATGCAAATTAGTCCCTCGTTAGCATATTTTTTGCCAAGAAAACTCGTAGTGTAGACATAGCCTGAGAAGTGACCAGTGAATTTTAGGGGATCAACATGAGACCCATTAAAGGGGCCCAATTTCCAGAAAGACAGACATCTGCTCTCTGCACATCAGGCTCCTAGAAGGTGTGAAGTTGGAGAGTCAAAGTAGCTAGTCAGTTTTGAATCTTAGTGCCCTAGGCAGATTCCTAAAATAATGCTTTCCACTTAATATTTTTCTTTTGTGTTGTGTCTTCCATCCTGCGAGGCCCCAGAGCACTGCACAGCCTAGATATGTATAGCACTAGTCATGCAGCTGCTCAGCATACAACATGCTGCAACACCACAAGTACAAGGATCGTAACCAAAGAGACCAGGCCAAACCTCTGGTCCTATAAAATAGTCCGCAGGATGGTTAGAGTCAAACTCCTGTTGCTAACTAGCAGCAGACCAATCTCCTGGGCCTTTCCCAACATTAAACTAATCAGTCCTCAGCACTGCTTTGTGAGGTTGCCTCTATTATTCCCATGTTACAGATCAGGAAACTGAGGCAAGGAGAAATGCAGTGGCTAGTCCAAAACTACACAGGGAGTCAATATCAAAGCGTGGATTATAGAGTCTTCTGCTCCCAGTCCTGTGCACAAAGTCCATTTCTCTGATTTACTGTAAGGGCTGTTTTAAGGCTACGACATAAGACTTGTACTGAAGTGCAAGAAAATCCTCCCAAAACACAGTATTCCAGCAGCTGATAGCCAGTAGGGATTCAGTGTGCACATGAGAGCCAGAGCAATTTGTAAAAAGCAACCTCCAGAACTCACCTTGGCCCTTGAGCTTGTGGCAGTATTTGTGGTCACTTGAGTGTGATGCGTTTACTTTGCAAAAATTGGGCTCTTGGCTCAGCTATCTCTGGCATCATGTTCCTCTTACCCAATAATCAGCTTTTCATAATGGATTTCTCAAGCCCAAATGGAAAGGTAAAAGCTCCAGCATTTAACATTCGGTGGGGGCATGTTTGTTCGTCTTCTCACCAGAAAGCACTGGCCTTGTGGTTGAAGTCCTGTGATTATTTTTAAACTTTCAATCACAAAGACTGGCTGCAGCTGTAGTCCCAGTTTGGAGGGTCTTGAACCCCTGGCCTTTGCTTTTCTGGTTTTCTGTGTTCGCTTCCAAGCCCGTGGGCCTGGGATGTGGGACTTTTGTCGAATGGTGACAGCAGGTGAGGAGAAGTCTGATGTTCTATGTCAAGGGCACCGTTTCGGGAGAGCAGGGGGGCAGCAGCGTGCATACTGCGACCTGGCTTGGGTTTTCTCCTGTTCCCCTGGCTATCAGGGAGCAAGGGGACAGTACACAGCTTGTGTGCATGCCTCTCACTTCTAGCTGGTGAAGGGAGGGGGCAGAGGAGTAATTTGCAAAATCTGTGTACTTTCTCCTCACTGCCCCCCACTCTCACTCTCTCAAAATGGTGCCCTGGTTCTAGGTGCTTTCCCCAGCTCTGGCACTAATATGTACCATTTGTATTTTGGTACGTAGTGCGTGAGGCGCCAAAATGGGACCCCCTTGCGCTAGACACCACACAAACGTGAGGGTCTTTGCTCAGACAAGTTTACAGGCTAACTAGACAAAGTGGGAGGGAAAGTGACTCATCCAAGCTCAGCCAGGAGGTCAGTAATGGGGCTGAGGAACAGAGCCTGGCTCTGCTGGGTCCCACTCAAGGGGCCCACATCATGTTCCTCTTACCCAATAATCAGCTTTTCATAATGGATTTCTCAAGCCCAAATGGAAAGGTAAAAGCTCCAGCATTTAACATTCGGTGGGGGCATGTTTGTTCGTCTTCTCACCAGAAAGCACTGGCCTTGTGGTTGAAGTCCTGTGATTATTTTTAAACTTTCAATCACAAAGACTGGCTGCAGCTGTAGTCCCAGTTTGGAGGGTCTTGAACCCCTGGCCTTTGCTTTTCTGGTTTTCTGTGTTCGCTTCCAAGCCCGTGGGCCTGGGATGTGGGACTTTTGTCGAATGGTGACAGCAGGTGAGGAGAAGTCTGATGTTCTATGTCAAGGGCACCGTTTCGGGAGAGCAGGGGGGCAGCAGCGTGCATACTGCGACCTGGCTTGGGTTTTCTCCTGTTCCCCTGGCTATCAGGGAGCAAGGGGACAGTACACAGCTTGTGTGCATGCCTCTCACTTCTAGCTGGTGAAGGGAGGGGGCAGAGGAGTAATTTGCAAAATCTGTGTACTTTCTCCTCACTGCCCCCCACTCTCACTCTCTCAAAATGGTGCCCTGGTTCTAGGTGCTTTCCCCAGCTCTGGCACTAATATGTACCATTTGTATTTTGGTACGTAGTGCGTGAGGCGCCAAAATGGGACCCCCTTGCGCTAGACACCACACAAACGTGAGGGTCTTTGCTCAGACAAGTTTACAGGCTAACTAGACAAAGTGGGAGGGAAAGTGACTCATCCAAGCTCAGCCAGGAGGTCAGTAATGGGGCTGAGGAACAGAGCCTGGCTCTGCTGGGTCCCACTCAAGGGGCCCAGCCACTGTTGCAAAAAAAGCAAACATGATTCTGAGATGCATTTACAGCAGTATTGTGAGCAAGACACGAGAAGTCATTCTTCTGCTCTACCCTGCATTGATTAGGTCTCAGTTGGAGTATTGTGTCCAGTTCTGGGCACCACATTTCAAGAAAGATGTGGAGAAATTGAAGAAGGTCCAGAGAAGAGCAACAAAAATTATTAAAGGTCTAGAGAATATGAGCTATGAGGGAAGATTGAAAGAACTGGGCTTGTTTAGTTTGGAAAAGAGAAGACAGAGGGGATATGATAACGGTTTTCAAGTATCTAAAAGGGTGTCAAGAGGAGAGAGAAAAATTGTTCTCCTTGGCCTCTGAGGATAGGACAAGAAGCAATACAGCAAGGGAGATTTAGTTTGGACATTAGAAAAAATTTCCTGTCAGGGTTGTTAAACACTGGAATAAATTGCCTAGGGGGGTTGTGGAATCTCCATCTCTGGAGATATTTAAGAGCAGGTTAGACAGACATCTGTCAGGTTTGGTCCTGCCATGAGGGTAGGGGACTGGACTCAATGACCTCTCAAGGTCCCTTCCAGTTCTAGTATTTTATGATTGTATCCCTTCTGTACCCCAATTCCCTGCCCTCAGTCACAATCCAACCCCCTGCAGCCCAGTTCAGTGCCCTATGTCACATCTGCCTCCTTCACCCAAACTCCCTCCCTTACTCCAAGCTCCCTTTCTGCACGTCCCTGCTCCATCCCAGACCCCACATCTCCTCCATTAGTATCATGGAAGAGTGCGGCCCTCGACCACTTTCCAGATTCTTGGAGTGGCCTCCCGTCAAAAATTATTGCCCACCCTGTTGTAGGGGGTGATAGTACAATCACCTAGCTCTGAAGGCAGCACAGAAATAAAGGTGGCAAGAGAGCAGCAAGTGCTGGCCCAGTGCCCAGCTCTGAAGGCAGCACCCCACCACCAGCAATGCAAGCAGAAGTAAGCGAGGACGCAATACCGAGATCCCCAACCCACAATAGCCTTGCAGCCTCCCCCTCACCATGCCCTTTTGGGTCAGGACCCCTATGGTTACCACACCATGAAATGTTATATTTAAATAGCTGAAACTGTATGATTTTTTTAAAAAGCCATGATCATGAAATTGCATAGCTTAGATCAAATGTCTCCGGCGTCTTCATAGTGGGAGGTCAAATGGGAGAAACTCTTGACTTCCTTTACTCCTCCTGACCTGGTAGAGTACTGGGATTGACAGAGGTGCCATCAGAGTTCGACTTAGCAGGTCTTTACTAGACCAGCTAAATCGAACCATAGAAGATCGATCTCCGGAACATCTATCTTCCCGGAAGTTAAAGACAAGCCTTAAAATGGACCATGAATTTGGTAGGGCCCTGCCCATGACTCGACTAGAGCAGGGGCAGATGGAGAGGAGTGTGACATTTTCAGGGCATGAACAATGGTGCGTGTTTAGAGACTGAGTGAAGACAGGCAGTTCCCAGCTAAGTATTTATTTCAGCACTTAGCAAGAGGCAGGGCAATCCAGTTGGGATCTCCCCTCCCTACCACTCGAGGCCACTTCTCCTGTGCCCTAGGACTGGGGGTGACTGCAGATTGGTGGCAGCTCAGCCATCCTGCAGACTTGGGTTTGACGCCTGCTCTTATTGAAAAGCAGCAAGGCCACAAAACTGTAGGCAGCTTATTTGTCCTGGAGGCGAGGGAGGGAGAAAGAGACAGAGTAAAGAGCAGCACAAGACTGGCTGCAACAAAGGGATTTTAAGGCCCTTTTTGGAAGGTTTATAAACACCAGTATATTTTAGAGCATCCCAAGTAGCAAGTTGTGGCCAGTCTGGTACCATGCCAAGAGAATGAGCTGCTGGTTCTTTTTGACACCAGTGCTGTGGTACCCTCTACCTTAGGATTGGACCTGGGCATCTGCAAAGCTGTTTTAACAGAAGGGACGAGCTTTCACCCCAGAGTAACATTGGGAGCACAAATCCCAATCCAGGAAGACACAGGGGAACGGCTCTCAGCCCATGCCCGCTCTCAGCCCAGCCCCGTCAGTCCCTGCGCTAACCAGTTATCCGTGATTCCTTCTTGGTTGCGGCAGGTCGAGTTGGGAGCTCCCAGATCTGCAAGATGGCAAAATCCAGGCCATAAGCGACTCGGACGGCGTGAACTACCCTTGGTACGGCAACACCACCGAAACCTGCACCATTGTGGGGCCCACCAGGAAGGACTCCAAGTTCAGCATCAGCATGAATGATAACTTCTACCCCAGCGTCACGTGGGCAGTGCCTGTGAGTGAGAGCAACGTGGCAAAACTCACAAGCATCCACCGGGATCAAAGCTTCACCACCTGGTTGGTTGCCACTAACACGGCCACCAGCGAGATGGTGATGCTGCAGACTATCAAGTGGCGCATGAAGCTGGGCATAGAGGTGAATCCCAGCAGACCCCTGGGGCAGCGCGCCAAGCTGCGGGAGCCCTTCGCGCAAGAGCAGCCCCAGGTCCTTAGCAAGAATGAGCCAATACCACCCAGTGCCCTTGTGAAACCCAATGCCAATGATGCTCAGGTACTCATGTGGAGGCCAAAGGATGGGCCATCGCTAGTGGTGATCCCTCCAAAATATCGGTAATAGGAACCTGGCATCCCGGCACCAGAAGGGAAGAAAGAAACCACTTAGATACATTTAGAATCTAAGATAAATCGAGATGCACTTTTTATTCATTCAGCAGAAATGCAACCATTCTACCTTCTCCCATTGGGACGGATCTCACTGTGCTAAAGCTAAAGAGGAGACCTTCCCCGGGGGTCTGCTTCATCACCTGATTCCTAAAGGAGGAATCAACAAACTAAAACTTTATTTCCAGCCCTGTAGCTTTCTTTTCTTCTTGACTGTAGTTACTGTGTGAACGTCAGTCTCAGCAGCTCGCCCAGATTGTCCAGAACAAAACAAGATTTTAATCTGGGATTTTATGATGTTTGGTGGGAGGAAAGGGATTTTTTTTCCAGATTGAAACAAGTTCCTGAAGCAAAACCCTATTTATTTATGATGGTTTTTTAAAAATGATAAACGGTTCTGAGTTGCAAACCTAAGTCATGCGGCCTTATGTAGACTTTGCTTTGCATTGCCAAACTTTTGCCTTAAAGCTGTGTGTGAAAGAAAATTTAGTCTCACCAAGCAGAATCTCTTGTCTGCCGGGTTTTAGGGAGGGCCGGGGGAAGTATTCTGGCGCAAGGAATAGATTGTCAGGGTATCAAGGGATGAGGCGAAAGGAATGATAATGGAAGAAATCAGATGAAAAAAGAAATTTTTCCTGAATTTAAACATGGAGCAAGGCGGCATGGAAATAAACCCAGCTTAGAACCAGTTGTTTTGCTATAGGAGCTGAAATGGGACTAGTACTGCACACAGAGTTGTAATGGAGGTGACAAATCTGTTTTAGTAACGTCTTTGGACGAGAGCTGCCAGGCTCCGAGCCGCGCGATGGAAGGGGGTCATCACAGCCTCGCATTGCTTAAGCCTTTTGGGCTGAGCCTCTTTTTGGCATGAGAATACAGGACAATCCAGCTGGTGGTGGGATATTCTCATATTCTCCTTCCAAACTAACCCACAATTATCCTCCGGTAGGGCACCATGACAGGTGGGTCACACACAAGCTGTAAGATATGTGGAGTCAAATTCTGCCATCAGTTCCTCTCATGAAACCCCAATGAATTCATAACAGGTGGGGTGAGAGGAGCGAGATAGTGAGGGATCCCTCTAAAATCACCGGGGCTGCATGGGCGTATGGGAGGGCAGCTGTTGTCCATTGGAGTCTATGATTCAGGTAGAATTATACCTCTGGGAAAAAAATCAAATCACATGCACCCTTCATAGTAACACTGGAAACAAAGAAAAGTCTCCTCTTATGATAGCTTAGTGCTCACCTGGGCTGATGGAGAAGCACCATTCGTACAACTTCACAGTCCCACAGGATTCAGATGGTTTCCAGCGATAAGGCCAAAGCAGGGTTGTAGGGGACGACACAGCTGCCGAGATAGAGTGGAAGCATCCACGGGTCAACCTGTGACCCCCAAAGTAGTGTGAAGAACGCAAAATCTGCCTCCTGCGGGGAGGCGGGTGCCCCAAGAAGTTACGTCTGTTTCGAACCTAAGTCGCGGCCCACGTAAGTCATTTGGTGCCTCTCCTGGCAGCCTCAGAGACACCACCAGGGGTGGAAGGCACGAAAAGGAGGCAGCTCGAGTCATGGGTCTGGCAGAGGGAGCTTTAGAAGAAGAGGAGCTTGTGTGGCGGCAGCAGCGTGGGTCAGAGGACAGGGCAGGGGCTGGGAAGACGGGACCTACCTTCTGTTTTCTGCTATTGCTGTATGGTCTCCGGCGCGTCACTTCACCTCTCCTCTGCACCTGTGACAAGGGGAGTGTCACACTGCCCCTTAGCAAGGAGTTGCTTAGGGACTAAGATTGCTCAGTTGTCTGTATCTGGCTGGTCCCTGCTCAGCTGGTCTCACAGGGACTCTCATTTGCCAGGCTCTGCTCCAAGTCGCTCTTTAGCTAGCTGTTCTCATTGCCCCCAGCCTCCTTGCATGCTCTTTAAAGAGTTCACCAGCAAGACCGTCTCAGCCTATCCTGGGATCTCCCCTACTTCGTGCTCAACCCCTTTATTTTTGCAGCAGGTTCAAGTGCTGCCCTCCCGCCCAGGAACCACCAGCCTCATGCTCCAGAGCCCAGCATCCCACGACAGCACCTTAATCATCCTCCCTCCCACTAGGCATGGACATTGATTCCCACCAGCAGCTGTGTCCGTGGGCATTCGGTGAGAGGCGGCTTCCGACGGGAGAGTCCATGGGTCTGGCAGGCAGAGCGCCAGTCATCAGAGGCAGCTTGCAAATGGGCTTCAAGCCAGACTCTAGGTCTAGTGAGGACGATGAAACAAGCTCATGAGACCATTGTGGTGTGCACAGCAACCACCTCCTTCATTCCTGAGCTCCCTTTCCTTATGCCTGACCTGCTCCCAGCTAGAGCTTGGCTTGCACAGACTAGAGACTGATCCGTACCCTCTCCTGGGCAACGCCACACAATAGCCACTCACTGAACACGGCCACACCTGTGCCGGCTGCTGCCAGCATGGCAATAGCGGGGATGGGCCCAAGCGGGGAAGCTCGTAGACTCTTCACGACAGCCTCCAAGTTTGGGGGTGGGAGGGAGGGACGGTGTTCATCAGGCCTGGCATTAATTTTGAGCCTGTTTCTGAAGTGCTGAGTATTTGCAGCTTGAGGGCGGTTTGTGGGTTCGCACGGTCTTAATTTGCTACACAAAGGGGTGCTGTGAGGTGCGATTTCTTCTGCTCATCAGAAATTGCATTCAGGGAGCCCTCATGCCATATTCCAGTTAGTGTGGCACTGGGCTTAGCCTCTGGGTACATTTAACAAGCCAGATTCCCACCCCCTATCTGGCTGCATTGGGTACACCCAGGCAATTCCCACCCCCTCTCTGGCTGGATTTGGTACATCCAGGCCTTTCCCACCTCCTAGCTGGCTGGATTGGATACACGGATGCCATTTGACATTCACATCTTTGCTAACATCTTGTTGCACTGAGTAGACCTGGCAGTGCAGTCAATGTGAGAATGGAGGTTCATGTCAGAGGTCAGAGTTTTGCACGGCCTGTGTCCCCAGCCTATAACTCCCGCTCCATTCCAAATCTGCCTTAGCCTTTTCCTTGTTGGAAATGTACCTCCCTCCTCCCTTTGTGCTGTCAGATGCTGGGGTAGAAAAAGGACACTGTCTTTTTAAGACTTCATGCTTTGTGATTCAATAGTGATGTTTTCTCAACACTGCTTTATTACAAAAACTGCTGGGGGCAGATCCAGCCAGCACAAAAGGGGGTGGCAGCTGGAAGTGAAAAGTGCGACACACACCACTGTTTATATGGCGGGTTAATAGCTCAATAGCCATATATTTAGAATTGCTCTGGATAGCACTTAGCCTCTCCTTTGGTACTTGAATGCTGAGGGCTCCAGCTTACGCTGCCCTGAGTGGCTGCAATCAGCCGAGGTAAATACAGCGACTTGTCTATTAAGCTGCTCTGGAGCCAAGCCACGGATGGGATTGCACGAGGGACGTGTCCTGAGGAAAGTGCAGCGCTAATGCTGGGTTTTGCTGGCAGCACGAGCTATTGCACTTCTGGATTCCGATCTAGCGCACAACAGGAGCATGGTGGCTCTGGAGGCCCCATTTACGCCCTCCACAATAGGCAAGTCTCCAGCCCCAAACCGTGGCAGGAGCTGAAATGTGCCAGGCGGCTTAGGAAGGACGGGGCCAGTCCCTGTTGCAGGTCAGGAGAGAGGGGAAGAGCAGGGGAGGGGCCAGGATGGAAACGGCGAAGGGTTCCTCATGTGAACGTCCATCTCCCACGCGCCAAAAGGAGGCAGGATTTCATGCATGCCAGTGGAGAACCCCAGCTGAGCAATGGCAGCTGGAGTCCATTCCTGGCTTCCCACTATGCTTTTCTGCACCAGCTCGCATAGCCAGAAGCAGGGGCAGCCCAGCAGAGAGCCTCCAGCGCTGCTCAGGAACAAGGGGAAGGAAGGAACTGTTCCACCCAGCGCAGCTTGCAGAAAGGCAGTCGGGTTAGGAGAGTGCTCGGGGGAGGGGGCTTACCTTAGACCCTGTAGCAGAGGTTCCTCTCTAGCATTCTGCCCACATTCGTGCTGCAGCAATATCAACCGTCCTTGGTCTTGCAGCGATACTGTGAAAACAAAGTTGTATCAAGTCTGGACACTTCACTGAAATGTAGAAACAAGCCCTGCTTTTCTAATGGAGAGAAATAAAGTGGATTTTTTTCAAACAAGTCTGCCTGGAGTTGTTTGGGGGTGGGGTGGGGTAGGATGCATTTTTTAAAGGGAAAGATGACATGGCGTTTGGAGTCATGCTCAGATCTCTACATTAAACACTTGGCTCGCAGCGTCTGTGCCATTTGTGCATTTCCACAACGTGTGGAGGTGCTGCTTAAAAATACAGGGGAGCTTTCCACCCAGGGCCGGCTCTAGTCACCAGCAAATCAAGCATGTGCTTGGCGCGGCACATTTCCTGGGGCGGCATTTCCAGGTAATCAGCCATCCCCGGCAATGCCGGGCCTCGCCGATTTTAAAGGGCCACGGGAGCTCAGCTCTGGCTGTGTCCCCCCAGGAGCTGGCTGCGGAGCGTGGCATGGCCAGGCTCTGCCCTGCCCTGCTGGCTCCAGTCCTGCCACTGCTCCAGCCCCCTTCACCGGTAAGAGACTGCTCCCTGCTGACCGCCCGGGTCACTGAGCCTGCCCTGCCCCACCCCACGCCCCTCCGGCTCCATGCCGCCCGTTCCCCCTGCCGGCTCTGTGCCCTGCACCCTGCTCCCCTGAACCCCGGTTCCCCTGCTCTCCCTGGTCCCTGTGCCCCTCCGGCTCTGCACCCCACAGCCCCTTTTCCCTGTGCCTCTCTGTGTCTGTGCCCCCCATTCCCCGCACTGCCCCACAACCCTGATCCCTCTGCTCCTCCCATTCTCCACGTCCCATTCCACGTGCCTCCCCCCCTCCCCCTAATCCCAGCATCCCTCTGGCTCTGCGCCTCCCATTCCCCATGCCACCCCTTCCCCCCCACTGTTCCCCACACCTCTCTGGCTCTGCACACCCCAGCACCCCAGTCCCCCTGCTGTCCCCGGTCCCCACGCCCCTCTGGCTCTGCACCTCCCATTCCCCACGGTGAACCCTGCTCCCCCTGTTTCCCATGCGTCTCTGGGCTCTGCGCTGTCCCTGCACCCTCTGTGGGTCAGGAGTGAGGGGTGCTTGTCCACAGGGAGGGGCTGGACAGGGCAGGGAAAAAGCTGTTGTGATCCAGCAGCGAGTGAAAGGGGAGGGGGCGTTTACTTGACGTGCCTTTGCCTTTATGGAAAAAAAAATTAAAATTATATTTGCCATTTATAGGGCTAAAATGCCGGAACGAAAACGAAAATGAAAATAAACAAACAAACAAAAACATTGCAAAGTGCAAAGGTGGAAAATCCAACAAAAAAGTGTGTGGAGGGGGAAGGCAGCCAAAAATTTTTTTGCTTGGGGTGGCAAAAATCCTAGAGCCTGCCCTGTTTCCACCTTCCCCTAACCATGATCCGGGCTGATGGGTGCCCTATGATAAGACAATTGCAAAGCTAATCTAGTCTGGAGTGCCCACCAGGGTAGATACCAGTTGAGCTTCTGCACAATTTGGCTGCCTGACATGTTTTCACACCCTCTTGCCAAACTTTTCATCTACCAAGATGTTGCATCTTCTCCCAACCTCTTATCTCTGTTTATTCCTCAGAGGGTTTCCTACTGTGGACTACCAAGCAGTTAGGGTCATTCTAGGGGCAGGTGAGCACAGCAAGTGCCCTGGGTACTGATTTACAGGGTTCTGGGACATTTTTTTGGGAGGGGTTGGCATGTCACTTCAGTGTGTGTGTGTGGGGGGGGGGAAGTGGCTGAAAAATGCCTAGAGCCGCTCCTACAAGCAGGACTTTTGTAATTTTAGGAAGTAATTTTAGAACCACAGATCTATAAGAATAATTCCAACCTGCCACCACTTTCCCTTGTCTCCACAATTTCTCCATCACCACTCCAACCTCTTGCCATTGATCGGTAGATTTCATATCAGGTCACTTTTCAAGAAGAAAGACAGCACCTAAACCAACAGGAAAGTGTCCAAGGAGGAAGTAGAGACCTGGGTTTTAGGTCAGCAGCTTCAGGCTAATAGATTAATCAATGGGACCTCTTGTATCATTGCTGAAGTCTCAACTGCAGCTTCCTTCTGGCATTCAGCTAGCCCCACTGTTCCTCTCCCCCTTCAGGAAATAAATCTGTGCTTCTGGCTTTGAATGGTCACTTCCTGTTTTGCAGAACCACTCCTGTCTCACCACTCACTGCTGCCACAGATAGGGTTGCCAGATGATTGAAACAAAACCACCAAACACTTACCTCCCCTCTCCCCCCAAAAAACACTTTTTTAAAATAAAATAAAATAAAATAAAATAAAAACCAACATTAAAACAGCAGTCCCCCTTAAGAGTGAGTGCAGGGATAGGAACAGGGGAGTAGTTGAGCACTAAGACCCAAGGGAAGCATTGCTAGCCTAGGTCTTTTGGCCAGAAGCCATTTTCTGCTGGCAGCCTTGGGGAACCCAGTAAGCTTGGGGGTTGGGGTCAGGAGGCTTCAGGTGTGGGAGGTTTGGGGGGAGGAACGGGGAGGGGGCTGGCTCAGGGGAGGCCAGGCGCTGAGTGTTTGTAGGGTTGCCAGGTGCCTGTTATTTTCGCCTACTGGCCGGGGGAAAAAAAATAATCAGAAAATACCAGACATCTTAGGTGTCCGGTATTTTCTGAATTTTTTTTTTTATCAGACAGGCGAAAATACCGGACTGTCAGGGTGAATACCGGATACCTGGCCACCCCAGCCATAGATGCGAGGCCAGGCAGGGGCTTCTCCGCAAGGTGTCTGACCCAACCTGTCCTATGCAAGAGTTCCACTGTGTAACGTCTTAGCAGATCAAGGAAACCTTGGTCTTTCTTTAACAGCAGCAAGACTGTTGGGTGCCTTGCTCAGCACATACCCTTTGCCCATGAAAAAGGGCCCAGAGGGACTGCATCTGCTGTGCAGGCATGGGCACACACGGGCTTAATTTCGCCCACCCGTTAAGTCCTGATTTTCGAGACACCGCTTACCGGCTTTGGTTGCTTGATTTCTGCTCAGCTTGCATCCCAATCATCAGAAGAGCCCTGGAGGGGTATCGCTGGATCCTGACTCTTTCAGTTGATTCAGTCTGTTTGTCGTCTCAGCTTTTCTTTCTACAGTTTCCACTGTGACCGTTCATGAAACTTCACCCACTTCTCAGCAGCAGCGCTTACGACCAAGGTCAAATCGCAGACCCCATAACCACAAGAGCCTCCTTCACTGCACGGAAGATTAGAATCTACGAAGGCCCCCAGCTATCAAGCCTAGTCTTTAGCTCAAGCTGGAGAGACCTGTGCCATTAGGCTTGGAGGTGCCTCATGCTCCTCAAAATGGCAGCAGACACATGGGGCACCAGGACAAAGAGATCAGGCCTTCAGTTCTAAACCCTCTCTCCTCAGACACCCTGCTTCTCACTCATGTCTCCCTTAGCAACCAGTATAGCAAGGGCCTTTGTACTCCTTGGAAGTTGCAGCCAACCATTTGAGGGCCAGAGCATCTCACATTGTTACAAGGCTGCGTGTAATGAACGTGCCCCGTGCTTGTGTACAGGACGCTTTTGATTGTGAGGGTGCACACAAGTAGACAGCTGAAGAGGAGACTGGGGATAGAGTATTTTGTAGGCTTAGTGCAGTGTTTCTAATCCTTTTTTTATAAAGTACCCCTTTAAAAAAATTATAAGTACCCCCCAGTACCTAATTTTCAGACACACAATTTTTTTTTCTACTGTTGCAACACATTTGTTTAAACAACTTAATCAAAGCAGGGCGGGTGATGAAATTTTTGGGTGTAAAAAGTACAAAAATAATAAAACCCTGTAAAACTTAAAACAAAAATTCAGGTTTCTCCCAATTCCAGTTGTGTTGACGTACCCCCCAGACTTCTCTCGAGTACCCCTGAGGATACTCGTATCACTGGTTGAGAAACACTGGCTTAGAGCAGAATTTGCAAGGATGGAGACTATGACCAGAAGAGAGGACAGGTTCCAAGTAGGATTCATTCCCACAGTAGAAATTCTCTGGGCTTACATACTGACAGCAGGTTAAATTGAGATGTCCCAGGTTTGGTTTTGGGGGGTGGGGTGAGAAGATACCAATCGATTCACAGTTGTTTTGGGCTACACGTGAAAGGCTGCAGGCACTTGCTGTATGTGCAGAAGAGTTAGATTGTTCCATGGGAGAATCCAGTGCTGCAGGCCAAAACAGCTTTTACTCCTATGCACATGGCCAGACACGCAGTCAAGGAAAGTAGCCTCGCAATCCAGCCACAGGCTACAGAAGATGGCACAAGGGCTGGCCATGTGGCTAGATGCCTGCACCACAAACTGAACTGACAATGGGTTCTCTGTGCAGCGCCTCCACTCCGAACAAATAGACACTTCCCCTCTCCGGGGCCCGGAGGAGGGCATTGAAACAGGGCAGCCTAGTTTCAGTTCCACTGCGGCTCCACCGCTTTGGGTTCTAATTTCAAGGCCTCTTTTTTAAGAGGAATTATCTGACTGACTTTATTACTCTTCAGTAGTTTGTGGAAGTTCATTTATCTCCACAGTGATGCTCAGAGCCATTTTCATCTGCCGTCACAAGCTGGGCTTTGTTTTCGCGTCTGCTGCCATCTTGCCTCGCGGCCACTTCGGACACACAGCAGCTGCAGACGTTTTTGCTCCCCCCTGTTCTTACGTTTTAACACAGATGCGTTTCCAGGAAGTGCAGACGTGGTCCGCAGAATCCAGAAACCTTTTTCATTTGGAGTGCTGCATCCTCTGTGCAATTGAGTAAAAAAAGAAAATGGGTTCTCTGTGCAGCGCCTCCACTCCGAACAAATAGACACTTCCCCTCTCCGGGGCCCGGAGGAGGGCATTGAAACAGGGCAGCCTAGTTTCAGTTCCACTGCGGCTCCACCGCTTTGGGTTCTAATTTCAAGGCCTCTTTTTTAAGAGGAATTATCTGACTGACTTTATTACTCTTCAGTAGTTTGTGGAAGTTCATTTATCTCCACAGTGATGCTCAGAGCCATTTTCATCTGCCGTCACAAGCTGGGCTTTGTTTTCGTGTCTGCTGCCATCTTGCCTCGCGGCCACTTCGGACACACAGCAGCTGCAGACGTTTTTGCTCCCCCGTTCT